ATGATACAAGTCGAGCAGCGGTTTCGGCTGAAACTGGACGCGGGACTGACGACCGACTCGGGCTGACGGTAACCAAAACGGCGCTTCTCTTTGTCGGTACAAGTCGCGATTGGCTCAAGATTACAAAAAAAGGCGGCACAATGTTTCAAAATCGAACTGATACGAAAACTCAGTACAATCTTTAACAAAAGTGCCCAGTACAGACAATACGAAAATGTCGGACTGTCAAAAAGCAGAGCACTTTCAGGGTTGGAATGACCAGGAAGTGCGCGCGATTGGACAAGAGTCGGACAAAAATGGACGGTTCGTTCCGAGAGAAATCGAACAGTGGACGTTTCAGCTGTCAACAACTAGACAAAACCGCTTGCAGACTCACGTGACACATTAATTTCCCATAGTTCTCTCACGGAGTACTGTAAAGTCGAGGAACGTGTTAATTGCCGTTTTGCATTATAAGTGAAGTGGTCTATGGAAGGAGATCCGGCCAGAGGTATGAAGAAGTGTGAAATAGCGAGAGTTCACAGGTTTGTCGCGTTGTCAAGTACGTCGGGAATACTAGTAGTAATTATTCATTCGACATGAATATCGGCCATATCAAGACATCTTTATATTCAACACATAAATGTACAGACATAGTGGCGCTGGACTCAAGTTCACACCTTATCGACATTTGTTCACACAGTAAGAGGCGATGTGATCAAAGCTTTACGCCAGGTTACATGAATATGAACAATGAATGAATGAATGAAGACCTTTAACCCAGACATTTTGTCTTTAAAACCCCCTTAATATAAACGTCTAGTATACACAAGTACTTTCGACTTCCTCTCCCTTTTTAGTAATTGTTTAAATGTAGGTGGCTAAAGGAGTGCGGTTATGTCTTCCTGATTCTATTCGCAATTTGTGACAACTAATTCTTAGTTTTGTAATATGGTGGATCTGTAACGTACATTTGCAATCTTAATATATTTTTCTTCGTGACATTAGTGTTTTAAAATACAAATGTACAAAATGTATATGAAATGTACAAAATGTATATGAAATAAGTACATTCAGAGGCCGACGATATAGATAAGGGTATGTTTACTTTTGCTCTTGCGTAGCTATATAGCCGTACTGAATTATCAGTTTCAGTTTCTTTCACTTCTCGAAGTTATGTAATTTTAGGAGGAAAAGATATTTTCGGGTTGGAAATGATGCAAAAAACTTGCACTAAACGCCTAAAAATTAAACTCATCATCTACACTCATAGAACGTAAACCAAAACTCGACTACTCAACAAGTTACGGAGATAACTTTCTGACGAGTGACATCCAAACTCGAGTATTGTCTACCTGGATGTGTAACCTTCAACTTACCATTAGAATTAAAAACGACTGATATTGTTGGAACAAGGAGATTTAAATAGAACAAGGAGGAAAGTAAAATCCAAGCCAACTGGCTAAAGAATAACAGGGTACATAAAACCTAAACACAGATGATCACTATTTGCGTTTGAGTGAGTAACGTTACTACCGCCCAAGACGGTCATACGGCCTACTGCGATACGGCATGCCCGACAGAAATGCATATAGAAAATAACCCTGCATGGTGATCAAAGGGGTACCGACTGTGGAGTTATCATGCAAATCTTTCAATGCCATAGCTGTAGTTGCCTAGGCCAATTCTAATTCATAAGCGTCAGCCCGCCTTTACAATAAATCAAGGTTATAATCAAGAAAGACACAAAGAACTGCGAAACGATTTGAAGAAAATCGGTGAACTGAACAAAAGAAATACATAAACAAAAAATTAGCGACCTTACGCTAACGTATTCAAACATGTATTTCAATGCCGACATGCCGATTGAGTCGCCACAGCAAGATAGAAAAAAGCGACACATATATTGATGCTATTCATCGCTGAACTGTTTATTGTATTTTGAATAATGGAGTATCAATATCCGAGCATACTATTTGACAGACAAGAGGCAAAAATGTGTTGTTATTCGAGCCATATACGTTGGTATGTAACCTTTTTAGCCTTATTGGTGCCTAGGTATGAAAACCCGCCCCAGAAGTCCGTCGCTGCAAGGTCATGTACTAGTGTGGGTCATCATCTGACAAGGCCCTTCCCGGAGACAGGTTGCCATGCGGCCTGGCGGTTGCTATGCCATGACTGACAGCGGTGTGTCTTTGATTTCCTCATAGTTCTTCCAGTGGGCGTGGTCAATTCTCACTACGCATTGTTTGTTGTTTTTCATGCCTCCGTTCACGTGTGTTTCATATACGCGGGAAAATGGCGTGTAGAACGCCGAGGAAGGAGTGTATTGAAATTTTTCTCTCCACCGAACTTCCCCAAAATATCTGTGGGAAAGACTGCGACGTTAACTCTTGTATACATAGGAGGAACATTCTTGCAGGTCTTACCAGTGCTGGCTTCAAGCCATTGAACGTTTGATGTGGGGCAAGGAGGTTTAAAACCACTTTGAGTGGGGCGCCTCTTTGAGCGCCGGCGACAAGAGCTTGAACATGTACACCTCAAGGAAATCCAAGCTTGGTGGCGCGCTGTGTTAAAAAAAGGCCGCAAGTTAGATAGACAGAGATATACTTCAATAAAACATAAATCTGAAAGGCTTGAAAGACTGCAATAATATTAAACACGGTTATATTGCAACAAGAATCTTAACCTCACGTTATCTTAGTTATGTAAAAAAATATGGACTTCAAAGTTACTAGTATGCAGTGAATATATCTTAGCCATTCATAGCATCTAACCACACATTCGAAGAAGTTACCAATTAATTATATTTTAACACTACAAAATCTAAGGCAATTTAAAAAGAAACTTACAATAAATATGAATGGATTTTTATTTACAATGTTGCCGAAAAATACATTTTCCGTGCACTTGCTATATCGTTTTAACGAGTTGTAATATCCACGACATATGGATGCCATCTTTCTGACCTTTGCCCTTTGTTTTCCAATAAGGACCGTCAACGCGTCGCCATTTCGAGAGTGTTTCTAGCTGTTTTTAACATTTTACGGCCTCAAAGCTCATACCACAAGGGAAAGAATGTTATGCTTGTCATTTTCATTCGTATCACTTCTTCTGGCAACGAATCATTTTCCCGCCGCACTGCCGATACTAGCGTGCACGTGTTTTTTTTTATTTGGTGATCGTCCCGCTTTGCTTGACGATGTAAACAGAGCTAGAGGTAGTCAAAGTTATTTACATTACATGAAAATTGCGTTGTAAAACACCAGTGGGATGTCTGATTTTCTACCATTGACAATGTTTTCTTTGTGGCGTCATAGCGAGATCGACAATTCATCGACTGTTGCATTTCCGGTGCTTTCCGCTAGGGGGCGCTAGGGGGCGCAACCGCACGCAGAAAAAGCGAAATGCTTGCTCCGGCGCATGGGATACGTAAAACCCCCATTAGCGGCCTCGGACCGGACCGGGCAGCGGTTTAGGTGGACCGGGCAGGGCAGCTAAGTCCGAATACCCCATGTTTACCATGTATTTCAAAAGCAAGCCCCATGCATTACCGGTCTTTCGCCTTCAGCCCCCCTCCCACCCATTTACAAGGTGAGTATTTTCGCAACTTCTTGACACTTGATACCCCCAGACGACACAAGGATACATCTGGACACATTTAGAATTCAGTCAAAGAACTTTTTATTCAAATTTTCTCGTTTTTTGCTCGTTTTCGGCCACTTTTCACTAATGGATGCTGTAGAGCAATGGTGCTCAGAGTACAAAAAGAAGATAGAGGCTAAATCACAGCATTCTACTCCCCACCGCGTTCAGAGTTTCGATGTCATTCTGTAGGATGTTTCCCAGGCTGTCTTTGTTGACATATAGACTCTCCTGATCTTCAGTTTGCCGACAATATGAAGAAATCGTCTCTGGTTGCAAGATGGTGAGCCCCTTGTCCCATGGTCTGTTACCAGGCCTGAACTGGCTGCCATGTTGCAGCTTCTTCTTTCTCTTGCGTGCCATGTTGTCTTGGAGATGTCTTGGATGGATAGCTGTCTTCACAATAATTCCTCGTATCGAGTATGGGCTGGTTCTTCCCATCCTCCACTTATAATGACAATGACCATGACAATGATGTTTATTGCATAGTCATGCCCTTATAAGAATAACTCAGCAAGGGGGATGGAGGCTTGGCTCAGCCAGTTCTCACCTGAGCTTCTAGGAGAGCACGATTGTGTATGGGGGTAGCTTGAGTGTTTTTTAGTGTAGGTCATTGTTATTATTTTATATTAGAGTTTATTTTGCCCGCACAGTTAGTCTGTTGGAAGTGTTGGTTATGCTTATTATTTTCAAATAAGGCCTTAAAATACATTCGTGGAATTTGTCTTGGCCATCTGCATTGGAATTAAAAAAAATGATAATTTGGTAATCATGTTTCAAGATTAAATTACTTTAATAGAGTTGATTTGGTTGAAATTTGCTATTTCATGTTAAACTGCATGAAGTGACTGTATTTTACAAACCATCTACTTATCTCTATTAACTCTATTTCACGAATTAGTCACAAACGTATGATTTTCTCTCAAACTTCCTTGCAATGATCTTTTGGGCACCCTTACCATATATGTACTATCATATGGTAACGTATTATGCCCATTGCTGTTTTTTATATTAATCCCAAGGTGAACACTGTAACTTGGTCCATAATAAATTGATAAGAGACAGATGTCTGCTTTGATGCAGAACTGATGTACTATGTACTTGTCCCCTTCGTTGTGCATATCTCAATGAGGCACTTTCTATTGCTCATGGGTTATGACTTATATAGCTCATCTTTCACTCTCGTGTTATATTGACACATTTGATAAACCTTACAATATCCCTTTTTCGTCACCCATGCACACGACGTTATCACGCCACACTGAAGATGAATAATGACAAAAACAGAAAGTTTCATTGCAAGTTTTATTCCAAGTGTTTATGAATGTGGATAAGAACATGTTACGATTTTGGATGTTTGATATAACCGATGACATTATTTTGTTTAGTAAAAACGACAGCAATGGTATGGTTTTTCTTACTACATTGCTTATTACTCATTTTTTTTCTCAAGCTAACGGTATGATTAGAAATTGTAGGACAGTATTTCGAGTATTTAAATTAAGTAACCAGCCGTTAGTATAGTGGTGACCGGTTAGCATACAATGGTTAGCCCGTATATTGCCGGCTTAGTAAGCCTGTAACACGGATAGGTTAGAAACATGAATATGCTAACCTATCCATGTGCCTCTATTAACACATGTCCTGTTGCTAAAAAGCACACAACTTCTAACAATAAATGACATACACGCTGCTTTTTTACAGGATGGTATGACCTGGTAGTCAATTACATTTTGTGCATGTAGTGATGTTAAATACTTTCAATGAAATGCTGAATATAAAGCAGATCATATTAAGGGTGTTGTATTTGAAACATACAGATGCACATGTTTTCCATTTTTTGTTATCCTGATAAAGTAACAAATTCCACAGATAGGGCTGACATTCAAAGTAACTTAAATCCCTGGGCAGTTTAAATTTGGGAAGTCTGTTTCTGAATTTGTTGCAGTTATTGTACTGAAAGTTTTCTTATACGGGTTGAAGAGATTTAATCATATATTGTTGTTAATTTGGCTGTTTGAGGGATTTTGACCCTAAAAATTATAATATTTTCCCAAATTTAAATGAACCAGTGTTTTCTGGGTGTTGAGGGTGTTTTCTTGTTAATAGCAAACTCTCCTAATAACAGTATCGACTTCTTGAATGAATGCTGTGATGAGTACAATTAGATGGCATTATGTAGTCTCAAATACGTTACAGCATAAAGTCACTTTTCTTAAGTAACAAAAACAAAGGGATGTTGTATAATTAGGCCACGTCAATTTAAATAGTTTGTTCCTGGGTCCGATTTTACGATTTTTGTTATTGTTTAAAGGGCCATATACCTTTTTTTAGATCATTGATTGAAAGCTTTGAGCTTTAGGGCACAGAATTTGTTTTTTCTGTTTTTTGCAAAATGAAGGGAAAAATCTAAAGTTTGTGTCCTAAATGTCATATGTTGCCGAAAAGTGCCAACAAAGAAACTTTCTTCCTTTTTTTCTGATTACGAAATGAAGGTAGCTAAAGTCATTTAGAACAGAGGTTTAATGTTAGTTTCATTCATTTATTTGGCCTTAGGAGAGTTTGTATTAACTATGCACTTGCAACAATTATCAATAGAAAAGCAGAGCAGAAACCAAACCAATCAATTTTAGAAACAGGTTTGAGTAGTCTTTCAAACACAATCAGATTTAAATTGGAGATTTCCAACCAAAGTTTGGGACCCTTTAATGATGTTTAGTATACTAGTAGTATGGAAAATACCAGGCAAAGTCAGAATGTCCAGCTAAAAATTTTGGAATACTCAGTTAAAAAGAGGGTACCAAGGTAGACTGTGAGTGTGCTTAGGAGACATGTCCCAAACCGACACCATATTATGAACAGCAAAAAAAGTTTGTAGGTAAATGGTCTTATTCTTAAGAAAGAAAGAAAGAAAGGAAAGTGTACTTTCACCACAGTAAACGTACGAGTTACCTGTCTATTCTTTCTTAGGGTCAACAAAGAAGTCCGAAACCCAGAAACATTAGCAACCTTATAGAAACCAAGTCTTCTTTTTACGTCATTGTGTTTAGGGGTAGAAAATCTTTTGGATCAGGTGTTTTTTTACTATATATAGATTTCTATGAACTTTGATGTTTAATACGTTAATCTAATAGAAAATAACAACATAAGCATACCTAGCCATGAAATGTAGCAAATTTGGATGGCACCCAAGCTATCTGCACCCAAATCTATAAACTACAACAGTATGGTTGCTCAGCAGGTGGCATCGACACATAAAGACAAAAATAATGCTACACTGTGATGGAGTCTCTCGGACGTAGCACGCGTAAGCATTTTGTCCAGGGAAGCACATTTGTGTATACAGTGTAATGATAAAATAGGTCTAAAACAAAACAAATGCTTCAGAAATCAAGTGAACCAACAGTCGCATGACATGTCGCTTCACTGAGGATATTGATTATACAGTGATTGTACTAAATATCTTGCAATGGAACCATATTAATCAAATCATCTAACATTTTGACATGAAACATTTACTAAAAAGAGGCTTCATAATGCAAAAAGCAGCTAGTCAAGCAACTGGATATAATTTTAGAAACTGTCGGATGTTTTTAAGTAGCATCCACCACCTTTCGTCAGTGACAGTAGAGAAATGCAGTTTGATAAGCACGAACGTTTAATTCATATGCAAGTAATTCAAGGCAATTTGCTTTCCTTCCAAATAAAAAGTTAGACAAGTAAAAACAAGGGTAGACACCTATTGCTTGTCTTTGACAGTGTTAATTCTTTGTCTACGGAAGGCGTTTAGCCGAAGAAACGTACTAGTATTCCCCAAGGTTAACATAAGCTCTGTAATAGTAAGCATCATATCTGGTCGGATTGGCATCGAGCTCCAAAGAGAGCCCGTCCTAACAACGTAATAGACGTAAAATTGTCTGCTTTAATGGACAATAGACTGGACACCAGACAACAAAAGTGGTGCATTATTTGCCAGCTATGACTATGGGCACCAGAAGCGCGCTTCGTAGTCCTTGCATTTGTTGTTGCCATCCTGGTCCTCGTTCCTGCAGACAAAGCCGACTTGTGGGTCGAAGAAGTGGAACTTCTGCCCAGTTTGGGAGGCTGGGGTGTTGGTCCCTTTGACGCGGGCCTGGATGCCCGAGGGCTTGGCGCAGATCTGCCCGGGCTTCTCCCGATGGAGGCTGGACAGATACTCCCAGTCTCCGCTGTAAGACGGGTCGTCACGGTCATACCAGTCGGTCCAGCCGGGGCATCCTGAAATTGGAACTAGGTATACATGTACATGTATATACACATCATCATACACGCCTTTAATTTACTAGATATACTGTAACAAAAATGTGCCACTTACCACCAGAGACTTGACGAACTCCCTCCAATGCCTCTTCAACTGCAAGAATCGATAAAAAAGCAATAAAGTTCCTTGTTTTAGGAGGGACACACCTCAAGCACTTTAAAAGGAAGTAAAACAAACCATAGGGTCCAACACGTTTTAAGCTCTTGTGATATTTCGCTTTCTTCTTCTTCAATCAGGCCTTAAGAAGGAAAGGACATCGTATACATAAACTATCTCCCCAACTGAAAAACAGTCATGCAAGGTGGCCATGTATGCAGCCGATACGATTCTTTACTTTTCACACCGTAGCATACAGACAATACAAGACACACTCCAGAACGATTCTACCCGGTTAGTACAGTGGTTCCTCGCAAACAGACTTTCTTTAACCCTAAACAGAACACCTGGGGTCCGCGCAGACCCCAGCACTATATATTCTGTACTCTGTGTACCTAAGACGCGCTTTCTTTCCCCCAGCAAAGACCTCATTTTAATATTATAATCGCATTTAAATGAGCAAGGTGCAAGTAGAAGATCGTAAATATGCAATAGGTATGGTGATAATTGCTGTAGCTTCACCACCCACTGCCCCTCCTGCTATTTTGCATTTGTATGTGCTAACTTCACGCTCTCTTTGAATTTTCAGTGTTCTTGTCCTCCTAGAACAAGGAGCTTTAGTCACATGTGATGAAAGCTCCTTGGTTAGAAGACTTTATGGCTTGAAACATGCTTGAAAAGAAAGTAAAAATGAAAAACAATCAAAACACATTCCTAAATACAGCATGTATCCACCAGTATCTAACTCAAGTCTATATAACGGGGTCTTATAAATTGGCGATGGAGCCGGGATTTCAACTGTGTATTGCATGTCTTTTAGGAAATCAAAGTCAGTGAAGTTATAACGTTCTTGATTTTTGAACCTGCTTTGACCAATTTCTAATCTTTCCAGCCGCCTCCCGAAGACCTGTAAAGGCTACTGTAAGAGACTATGATGACCATAGTTTACAAACAGGATTCAAAATGACCATTTTATGTGCTTATGTGTTCTTTAGTGGCCCCTATCAAGGACGTTCTATTCCGGCTTCGCCCCTAAAAATCTAATTTCAAAGAATCCAAAGCTATGTAACATTTCACGTCATCAAGATTGAATGTTAGGGAAGGACTGGGAAGCACGTACATGGCGCTCAAAATAAACAGTGTGAAAACAGAGGGCCAACAAACTACATGTACTGTAAAGCTAGGAAGTTTAGGGAGATACGGGGCATGGATGTAGGTGCATGTTTGGAGCCAGACAAGTCAATACACATTTTTCGTCTCACTGGGCCGGGGGTAAAAGTCTTAGATTTAACTCCTTTCTTCATATGAATTATAAGACATCTATCTGTTTTCTGCCCAACAGGCAGAGCTGTTGTTCAGGTTTATAGCTGCTATCAATAAAACTACATTTAAAAGCTAAAACCTTGCACTAGAAGAGTAAGAAACAAATGTTTAAAAACAAAGACTTGTGGTAAAGTCTGAATTTGAATGGATACATGCTGCCGTCTGCCCACTATGCATAATTAAAGATAATTGCCCGTAATAGCCTTGAGTGAAGGTGCGAAAACAATTAATTTCATTCACAGTCATGAGGCTTGATAAAGATTGACAGGTCAAGGAAGGAAATCTACCAGAATTTAGACTTTTAAACTTTAAAGCCCGAGACCAAACTCTTCCCATGGGTTTACAAAGTTGAAATTGGGTGCAAACAATGCATAAGAAGTCCGTTTATATGAATCGGTTTTCAGAAAAACTACTTTATCCCCTTATATCTAGCTATTGGCAGATAAAGTTCTAGAATTCTACCAAAATGGACTATATTACAAAATATTTTCAAATCTAAGCTTTATTCTTCTTTTCTGGAAACCGATTCCTATAAAGTGCATATCTCTCCACATTCTCTGAAAGTATTGTATTACAATTCTGAGCAGAAGGGTTTGGTCTAGGCCGATTTTATGGAGTCATAATGGTCTAATATTATTATCAATTATGGAACAGTTATGCAGATTTTCGACGGACAAAGTAATTATTTAGAATCAGTGGTATTTTATCTAAGTTACTTCCAAATTTGAAGTTGATTGGTCCAGCCAAACTGGAGATACATGCGATTTTACAGCTAGCTCTGTATCACTGCCATTTTAGTCCAAAGCGCGTCTTAGGTACACGGAGTAATATCTTTTTTTGTTTCTAAAGATTTTTTTCTGAAATTTTAGGTAATTGTCACCCACAAAGTTGTCTCTCAATACAGTGCAGAAAACTCCGTTTCTACTATTAAAAAAAAAAATTATATCTGACTTTCTGAGCTAATAATATAGTCCGCCATATTGGATTTTGACCAATGACGTCACCAAATTAGCATATTCTATGCATATTAAATGATTTAACTTATATTTAATTATGTAAGATGTTTTTCATGTTGGAAAAGAAGCATAATTTAATATAAAACTCAGAATTTTTTTTTTGTTTAAACCAAAATTACTTCTATTTTAAAAAATAATGCCTGCTAGAAACCCGTTGCCATGGCAACACAAAAAAACATCAACGTCTCCAAATTTGATACTTCTAGCGCAAGCCGTTTAGCCGCTATCTGAGATCAAAGTTGGGCCTCAAAAGCCCCTTCAGTCTGAAATGGGTTTAAAAATCGGGTATTTCTTCTTGTCTTCTTTTCTTTACCAAAAAATAGAAAAAGTTCAAAATGTATAATTTTTGTATGTAATGTGGACACAGATGTTCCCACATCAGTTTGCAAAACAATTGAGCTGGTAGCATGTTGATAATTTCTAAAATCAGCAAAAAACTGTTCTGGGGTCCGCGCGGACCCCAGGTGTACAGATTAATCAGTCCGGGAAGGTGTTCTGTTGAGGGTTAAATCCCTCCAAATGCAAGTCAATGCTGGTTGGTTCAAACGGTCCAGAGCTGTTGACCAACACTTACAACTTAGGCTAACTGGGACAGAATTAAAGCAAGTGGACACGTTTAAGCACCTAGGTTTTGTGCTTGACAATACCCTAGCCTGGAGCGACCACTTTCTTCATGTGTCAAAGAAACAATTGGAATAATGAAGTGTTTGAGACCATACTTGAACAGACAAGCCCTACTGACAATATACAACACATTGTTCCTCCCCCACATCCAATACTGCAGCACTGTTTGGGACCAGGGCTCGCTTGCAGTACAAAATGAGATTGCTTTCTTTTTTCGGTGCAGTCCTCTGGAACACACTTCCTCCTCGTGTCAGAAATGCAAAAAAAAACTCTGTGTCTTTAAAACGACCTTTTCATCAATTTGCATTTAGTATTATCTCTTTGTTAATTTTTGCATTTTAATTTTGTACATAACATTGATATTCAAATTCAGTCCCATTATCAATATTATTTACATCATTTGTCATATTTATTTATTTATTTTGTTTTCTGTATGTTATTACTTTGTCCTGTTTCTTTTATTATCACGACAATCATGGTTGTACTTAAGTTAGTTCTTTTACTTTTGTATTGAAAAAGGAAGTGTTGAAAACCACCATTGGCGATATGAAATAAAAATGAAATAAAAAAGGAAATACATGTTGGTACGAGATGATTCTGAAATGCTATGAGATGCTACATTACAGTAGTTACATGTTTACATTCATAATGGCATTGAACAATGTAATTTGAGATGCCTGGGATATCGCTTGTAGGAGTCAGAAGAGACGCCTAGTAACCCTGGCAAATATTGCAATTTTTTTGTTGGCCATTAGTTGTGTAGCTGTTCCGTACCATCTGTCTACAGCTCTACATTATTCCCGTATTGCTCCATTTCGTCCGAAGGAGGGTCGGCATCTTTGAAGGGAGAGCACCATTTTTTTTCTCTTGCAAATGCATTCGAACACCATTTCTTAGCTTATGGTTTACACTTTTCACAGATTTACACTAATTCTGTTATAGATCGATCGGTAAAGCACGTTGGCATTAGTATATCGCCTTTGCGCAACCCGTATTATGTTGTATATAGCACTTAGGCAGAACATCTTGTTTAAGCTCATATTCCAGTATATATATTTCCATGTAAGAAAAACATGCGGTCTATATGTATGGTTTTTAAATGTTGTGTCGGAATAGACCTCGTCTGCAGCTGGCAAAATTCTGATGCAAGCTCAACCGAAAATCCAAAGAAAACCAAAATCTGCCGACTAAAACATCAAGTTAAGCACTAAAAGTTACAAACTAACCGGGTTCATCCACGGAACCACCCCATTCACTTTCTGCAGCTCTATCCTCTTCCTCGATCATATCTGACATTGAAAAAAATAAAAAAAGTGATAAATATAACATGATCAGTTTTAGACGCTAACAGCAAAGATTCTTTTTAACATCCCCTGTGCCGTGAACTTGTAGATGGGATCTTTTGTCCAAACCCGAGGTATGTTGTCGTTACTCCATATTAAACAGAGGTCTAGACCTAGCTTCCTTTTTATCGGGCTGTCTTTTTTCGTACAGGTATTGAACTTCTGATATGAAATCATGTGCAGTTACATGTTGGGAAAAAACTTTGCGGGCACATGGCACGGTAAATGTTCTGGGGTATGGCTGAAAGAGGGACAGTACTTTTGAGAGTCTCCACCAGGCGCAGCACTTCGTTCTCGGTCTGGTCCCCGGTGCTGCTTCGAGCTTGTTGCGGCACCTCTGCCGGGGACAGGGTTTCGTCTGAAACACGGACAATGAAATATAGGCACGTTTGGGATTATGTTCTCGCTGCAATTCAAAGCGCCACCTACATCGGCTACTGGACTTAATTTCCACCTCATAAAACGTCCGTTAACATTTGAAACAGCCGGTGCCATATCCGTTTTTGCCTACACTTGAAAAAAAAACACAGAAGATCAAATTTGAAACTCTAGTTGTATTGCCATGAAATTACTTCTGATCTCGCTTGTTATAATCACTTGACGCACCTGTAAGTACTTCAGTTGTCGCCGAGCGTCCGATCAGAAACACCAGCCCCACAGTCAGGAGCAGTTTAACTGCCATCTCAGATGTCTAGGAACCTGATAATGAACCACAAAAAGTGATTAAAAGCTATCCGGGGCCAAGTGACTCAAATAGTTGATCACCTTGGTGCACAATTACAATGTATCACGAGCTGTTTCTAACGGAAAAGAGATATTTTTAATACTTTAAATCTTGTAATGTTCGTGGTCGTTGTATTATCACGGTATTCGCGTTGACCGCTCCATCGCAAAGTCATGACAACGCGAATGTGATTTGTTTAAAGCGACGGTCACAACTCGCCGTACGTGCTTCTGCGTGCTGTCTACGTGCAAAAACGTGGGCAATCGTACGGCATCCGTGCGTGGTGAGTACCACCTCCGTACGGAATCCTACGGATTTGGGAGCACGCAGACACGCCGTAGAACTTTAAGTGCATGTAATACATTTTCTACGTGCGGTCTGCGGATTTACCACCCGTGCGTGCGAGTACGTGCGACGCGCGTGCCCCGTACAGCCTATGAGCGTGCAACGTACGGACTCCGTGAGTCTAACTTCACTATTCTCACGTGCAATTGCTGTACGGACAGCGCACGAAGGACGTGCGTGGCACGCACGGTGCTTGCGTCATCCGTGCTTACTCCTCACTTCCCAGTTGACCTGCTCAATGACCACGCAGAACACACGTGCACCGTACCAGGTGCTCCGCACGTGCAACGCACGTGGAACGCACCTGATTTCTACAGTATATAAAGACGAATTGACCGGCGACTGCCAACTCGTCTCCAGGATGCCCAGGAAGGCTCAGAAGAAGACTACCAGACAAGACCCAAAGAAACGGGCCGCGGAAGACACCAGGGCGGCTAGTGATGATGAAGTTAACAGGAGGTGCACGTACTTACAACGCGCGAGTGAGTAAGGAAACCGTGCGTACGCCTCACGTGTAGGTACGGCCTGTACGCGGCAACGTAGCAATCGCACAGAGATCGTGCGTTGTAAGCACGTACAACTCACCACTTGCGCAACGTACGATGCACGCAACCGCTGACGGCCAGGCGTGTCGTGCAGACCACGTACGTACACCTTGCGCAACCGTGCGAGTGACGTACTCCCTCGGCCGGCCACCCTACGTTTGCAGAAAAAACGTAGCAGACGTAGCCACGACAAAAACGTACGGACAAAAAGCACGCACGGCGAGTTGTGACCGTCGCTTTAGGTAGTACTACAGCTGGATAACGAGTCAATAGACTGGAACTTGCCCGGGCTTTTGGCGGGAATGCGTGACTTGGCCTGTTGCCTGGTCCAGTTTAATAATACTGCAGTGTAGTCCAATTAGCAGAGTTTTTTTTTAATAGAGGTTATCAATAGCAGACTGTGCCTGTTCATTAGAATTTTTTTGGAAAGATTTGTTCTTATCTATAAGATTTTTGTCTGTACTGGGTGGATGTTTTGCAAGGCGATCACCGACTAACACCGACAAACAAACAAACCTGTTCACAAAACCGCAGGTGCTGATTCAAGACTGCAGTTCCAGTCCAGTGGATGCGCATCTGGCACGGACGTTTGTTTACTAGTAAACCCAGATGAACTTACAGATGCACTTGCTTCACTCATTTAGATACATATCAGGAGAGTCTTAATAAACAAGCTTTTTGATCTTTGTTCTCTATTCTTTGTACAACAAGAACCGCGTTATCTGATCCTTCTTCTCTATCTATTCTCAACAAGAACCGCGCCGTGCGTCTGCATTTGAAACTAGAGTTCCACGAGCTCATACCTTCGCCAAATGACTTTCTTATGACTAGGAGAGTAAACATTAATCCCCCTGATTATGCAAAAAGGATTCTCAATTGCATGAATTATATCTGTTGATCATATTCTACACCAAAATACAGTCCAGTCTTAACAAAGAATGCCATTATAGCATTTCCTCATTAACTATGTAAGTCATGTTTCATTATATTTACATTAACTTTCAAATACCCCAATAAAATTCCAGGCAGTTACTAGTAACACTATGGAATTATAACATTTTCTTATTAATTATGCAAATTAAGTCGTCATTTGCGTTATCGATATCCGCCCGTGTTACTTTCGTTCTTAATTACATATTTCACAAGTTTGACATATGTCACGGAATGTAGCTGATTTATAGAATTTCCTTCTAATTATGCAAATTACATCCATATTCGCATAATTGTAATATCATTATGTCAAGCATCACTGAAGCTACCTACATATAAAAAATCACGACGATCCATCAATCCGTTCTTGAGTCCTCCTTTAAATATTGTCAACAAACACCTGTGCAGTTCCAGAGCAAGCAGCTAGGGACCTCAAACTCATGTCACTGCATCTCCAACACAAGAGCTATATACCATGTAAATATTTTGACCCTAACATGCCTGGATCATGAGATATAAAAAAAAACTGTTCTGCTGCAGTACCAAGACAAGCCGCCAGGGGGTCCAAAATCTAACCAATTCCAGATCACATCAAGAACTACTTACCTACTATATATCAAGACAATCCATTTAGGCGTTCTTGCGTTATCTTGCTCACATACACACAAACACACACACACACACACACACACACACACACACACACACACACACACGCACACACACGAACGCCCCTGAAAACACAACCTTCTCGGCTATGGTAATAAGGCAATTCAATAGTTGAAGACATGCATTAATAGCGGCACATTGCCACAATCTTGTGTACTAGTTTCTCAATGACCTTTGCAATGCCTACAAGAAGAGGCATCTTGTAACCAAGACTAAAGGCATTGTAAATGTACTATCATGCTTGAAAAGGTATTGTTTCAACAGCGAACCTTTCTAAAACACCGTAAAAATCTACTTTCCTTTCCTAAAGCGAAATTAATTCCCCGCGAACAAAAATGATTTTACAGTATTAAATTTACAGTATTGTCTGTCGACCTGGGTATAGAGGCATATGTATGGTTTGCACATCAGAATCGCTACGGACCTCCACCAGGGTTTCCCCTGGCTTCGCCCTGCTCGGGCATAGTTCACCATATTTCGGGTCCCAACGTGCACGCTCTGGCGCGACCTCACCGACGGAGCGGTCGAGATCGGCCGGTGGTGCGCTCGCACCGCGGAGACGGCGGGGATCCCACCTCGGACGGACGGTGTGAATACACATGCTCAGGTGTAAATACACATGCTCAGGTGTGCATCCGCCATCCGCAGATACCATCCGCGGATCCCACCACCGCCATCCGAGGATTTTTACCTTCGCCAAGAAGGTTATGTTTTCAGAGGCGTTCGTGTATGTGTGTGTGTGTGTGTGTGTGTGTCAACACGATAACTTGAGAAGGCTTAAATGGACTGACTTGATATTTGGTAGGTGGGTAGGTCTTGATGAGACCTCAAAATGATTAGATTTTGGGCCACCTAGCGGCTTGTCATGGTACTGCAGCAGAACTTCCTGTTTTGATATCTCATGATCCAGACATGCTAGGGTGACGAAATTTAGATGGTAGATAGCTCTTGTCCTGGGGATGAAGTGACATGAGTATGAGCCCCCTAGTTGCTTGCTCTAGAACTGCAGGGGGGTTTAAAGGACAAATGTTTAAAAGAGGATAACTCAAGAACCGATTGATGGATCATCGTGATTTTTGGTATGTAGGTAGCTTGAGTAATGCTTCACATAATGATATTACAATTATGCAAATATTGATGTAATTTGCATAATTAAGAAGGAAATTCTATAAATCAGCTGCATTCTATTATAGGAAGTTCAAGCTTGTAACATATGTTATTAAGAACGAGAGAAACACAGGCAAATATCGATTATGCAAATGAAGACTTAAGTTGCATAATTAATGAGAAAATGTTCTAATTGCATAGTGGTAACTGCCTGGAATTTAATACTTTGGGTGTTTGAAAGTTAAGTAAAGGTGAACATAATTAAACATAACTTATTCAAATAAGGACCACATTTGCATAATTCATGAGAAAATGGCATTCTTTGTTAAGATAAGACTGTCTTTTGGTGGAGAATATGATCAACAGACTGATATAATTCATGCAATTGAGGATCCTATTTGCATAATCAAGGTGATTAGTATATTTCTTATTCATAAAGGCTCACATCATTTGGCGAAGGTATGAGATCGTTGAACTCTAGTTTGGACGTATTTTTACGACGTAGTTTAGCCATCGACGTATTTCAAATACGACGTAGTTTAGCCATCGACGTAGTTTAGTCATCCGCGTATTTTGCTGAAATAAATACGACGTACTTTTAGCCATTCGCGTATTTTCGTTGATGACTACGATGTATTTTGTAGGTTCCTGAAATACTGACGAAATGCGATGTAGTAAGAACGCATTCACGTTGCTGAACGTAAAATCGGCTATCGACAACGACGAGTTCCTCGCTCGCAAAATGCTAGCACCTGGGACGCGAACTAGAATCTGAAAGAAGGCTGTTTGTCGACCGATACATTATTTAAGTTAACTATCATGGGATGTATGATAAAAACCTGCAGCGCAGGTAACTCTATACATAAATCCTGGACAGGATTTAAGAGTTTCGCACGACTTTGAATACCTTCGTCAGTTGTCAAAGTTGTCAGAAAATGGACAAGCATGTTATCGCATGTTATTCGCGTTCTCTGGTTTTCACAAAACAGAATTTGGTCATTACAGTATCACAGCGGGCCGGGTGTTTCCCGCCACATTTGTGGCACAGAGGGAGGTACGAGGTTAGTACGTACAGTTTTGGGTGTTGGGGCCTCATATTCGGTCAGAGGGTGGGCAAACGTGTTAACGCGATACTGATATAAGAGTGTACGCCGTCTCGTAATTGTCTCGGCCTG